TATTTAAATAGTTTTAAACAATTTAAGACAACCATAGCTCCAAAGTAATTGTGACTACACCATCTGTCATTGCAATTATCGTTAAATAATCAATATTAGGTACATAATTGATGCAGTTTTGCACTCGCGGAAGTTATTTAGGATACCTAGCAACATTCATGGACCATTTTCAATGCGATTTAGATTGTTATTAAACAATTATCAACGATTCCTGTCAAGCGTACTACCGACAACATAAACTTTTGCACCTACTAATCGCCGGAAAACCTTTATAACTGTTTAATTTCAATCGAAATCGTATCAACACCGGTTTAACGGTTCTTGAATGTTGCTAATGATCTGTCTTGGTACTGTCTTTCACGAGTACCAAGGTCCATTATTTATATGCATAAAGTTAATAGAAACAGTAGAATAATGTGAATATTTCTAACAAAGTAATGTGTAGTTAATGTTCGTTCTATGTACGTTCTATATACTACTACTAGTACTACTACTACTACTACTACTACTACTACTATTACCGTCAATGGAAAAACCAATAAATTATTTAGCTATTATTTAATTAGCTCCTGTAGTTTTCAAGATATTTAAAAAAACATCGGTTTTCACCGTCAACTTTAGGGGCTGTTTTCACCCTTTCGATATGGACGATTGTCGGTAAAAAAAAATACGTGTCAAATATTTTCTTGAAAACTATACATACTTAGCAGATAAATTTTCTGAAAATCGGCGCGTGACAATTGGATATGTTCTCTTATGTGCCCCGTTAGGGAAAAGGTTTCCCGAAGTAGAAAAAGGTTGTTTTTCGTGACGGTCCTAGTTGCGAAATTGCTGCGAGCCCGAACAAACACAGCAGCGAATAGAATATTAACCTCGAGTGCGGGCGTATTGAGCAGAGCGTGGGTTGATTGGGTCACGTCGGCCGCGTGGAGGCTATTGTGGAAGGGATTGTCCTTGACGTAGTGATCCTCGAGGGTCATCATGAAGGTTACGAAGGTCTTCGGCGGTATGCCTAGCGATTTCAGCAGGTCTCGCCTCTGGAAGACTGTGTATGCGACGCAGGTCAGCGGTCTGTTGCTGCTCAGCTCGCCTATCCTGAAGATGTCGATGCCCCACTTGTCGATGTCTGACAAAAGCTGCAAATTTTTAACGGGATATCGTTAACGAATCCTTTTTTCTGTGAAACGGAGATGAGATATTGGTTTTGTAAAAAAAAAAAAAAAAAAAATGAAATTTTTAGGGCTGATCTCATTGTCACGGATGTGTTTGCGAACCATCGTATGGTCTCTCGTCGAACCAGTTTATTATCGCGCGCGCGCGCCAGCTTTTGCTAACTTGGCGAAATTTCTACGGGGATCTATACCAACCGAACTGAAATTCTTCGAGGAAATTTATTTTTCCAAGACGCATCGATCTCGTGTTACGATTAAACTTTGGACAATTCATCTTGTAGACAGTTTTAAAGGAGTCGAGGTCACGGAATTAGGCTTGCTTTGAGTCACCGAGCGTTTCGCGAACCATTAAGGGCACTTAGCACCGATTCACGGTTTTGCAAAATACCGCAACGAATGGAAAGTTTCCTACCGGACGAGTCATCCTTAAAAAAAATTAAGGATTTCAAATTACACGTAAATATTCAGCGCGGTTCTGCATTGCGATTAAATCTATATTCTCTCGTTGCGAATAAATTCGTCGATCGACTGTCGCGTGCCAGCAGCTTTCGCGCGTCGCGTCGCACCGTGACGTTAAGGTGAGACGATAATAACGATGATAAAAGTTTCGTGAATTTGGGTTATCTGCGACCCATAACCTCGACCCAAATAACTATCCGAATCGTACATGTGACCCGTGCAGTTGTCAGCAAAAATACTTTAACTCTGGTGAACTGATTCCATTATCAATATTTTTTGGAATATTACGCGTACGCTCCAAGGTCGTTCTACTTTACGATTATCGAGATATTCGCTTTGTTCAAGGAGCGGTAAAAAATGTAGGTACACGCTAAACAACTTGTCGATAGTTGGTCGATGGGTTACGAGAAAACTGGAGGTTCGGTATCTTTCGATAATTCGATTAGGTAATCGGCTGATTGTGTAGATAACGAATTACTAATTCAACTAAAACGTTTGTTACACGGTTATAGACCGATGACGGAAATGTTGTAATTGATCTCTGATATGATAATAATCATTTATCGAATACCAATATCGGTGTTCTTTATTCGATGTGCGATTCGTAAGTAAATAATTAATAATTGAGCCTGGCAATTTTCCATTGGTAAATATTTCATTACGAGCCCAAAGACATTCCGTTATTTCGAATCGATTGTATTTTCCGACTTGGCGATTACGTTATTAAACGTTTCAATAAAAAAATGTCTGAAATGTTCGAGAGATATCAATGTCCAGATAAACCAGGTTGGGTACTCGTGGATTACATAATTCAAAGAGTTCGTAATCGAAGAGTATCGTTTCCAACGATATTGCCGTCAATCAGCATCTTTCCTATTATCTTACTCTTTAAGTTTACCGTCGCAATCTACTCCCATAACCGTTGGCGAGCAAATATTTGTCAGTCGTGGCATTTTTCGCTATGCTGGAAATTTCCTAGATCGGAGCTCTCTTTGTCGTAAAATTAACACAACAACCTCGTTAGTCCGGGTTTCGATTCGATAGATATAAACACGCAATTAAAGTAGCTACGCGAATTCGTATAGACGTAGAAAAGCCATGATACGTATAATCGAGATTCGAATTAGCCGCAAGCTCTTTATAGGGGACATTCGAGTCCACAGCTGTGCACCGAATATAAACAGCAGAGCAAATCCCCAAGTTCGCCCGGAATGTCGACACCAACGCGCCAACTTGTATTCGTGTCAGGGATTACACGTGTTTCTGGTCCCGTGCAAACGCGACTGATAACTATAGACTGCAGCTTGGAATTAACGGAGGAGCAAATCTCTGATATCGCAGAGTAGGTACCGTGTGATCCGATTTGTGGCTTCGCCACGATATTGGAAGCTATGGAAACGAGACAGGGTATCGCGAGTATCTGTTTGTTCTGGGTGACTGCGACTGCGAACCCGAACACCAACGTAAGTAGATCCAGTTCGTTATCGAATGAAATTTGATCAAACATTTGCTCCCATGGGATGTCTAGTTTTCGTTTTCGTTTTTTTTTTCTTTTTCGTTAGACCTGTCGATCCTCCGAGTACTCGATACGCGATCGCGATGATCGAGTTGACTCTCGGACCGGTTGCGGTTGTGCAAGCAACACTCGCTGCGAGGCACTGAATTCGTAATCGAGGCCTTCCGGATGGGTAGAAAGTGTCGTCGCCGTTAATTAATTTCGCTTTCACGATCGTTGTTTACACTACGAGAGAAAATTACGTAATTCGAACGAATACATTTGGATTTTGTTTTGGCATTTCGCTTTGTTTCGTTCGACATCCTCGAACCGAAAGAAACGATCGATGCACCTAAATATTAATTATCCTCTCGTAGATATCTCTTTAATGAAAAATTTATGTTTCATCGGAAGAAAACAAAGTTCACGGTGGTCTCGTAATTTTGGCTTGTTGTTTGCGGTCCAAGCACTTCAATTTGATCATCTATCTTTTCCACGATTAACGCATACACGCCAAACATAACCACCTTTTGTCAAATAATAGCCTGACGTTGCAACAAAACAATTCAACGCACGCGTGAAACCTAACCATTGTATCGCGACCATGTTCTCTATTGTAACGCGAGGGTTCCCAGCCCAACAATTGTACAACATATCAATTTCTATAGTGAACTTGTGTTTTCATGCAACCAACATATCCAGCTTTTCTACTCTGACAAGACTCGACGAATACATCCTCATTGTCAACTTTGTGTCATCTGAACCCGCCTAGCTCTGTCGAGTTTGGCCGTTTACGTTTAATCATAACGTAACGATCGGAGATTGAGACGTAGCACGTTCGGCTACCTGCCGGGTCGCGATGCGCCGCACCGCGCCGTGGCGTTAGTTCAACGACCAACGACAACTACCGTAAAGCAGAAATACTCGTTCTTACCTTGCCAAGTTCTTCTTCGTGAGGTGTTTCAACGCCGTAAAGTGGTACACGTTCTCCCGTGAAGCTGTTTGTGTGCGTGAGTGGTCGTTTAACGCCACTTATGTGGGACATGGCGGCTGGACCTCTCTCCGCGCGATCCTTCTTCTTCGCCGCTCGTGCATCTGCGCTGCCTGCAGCTGCAACTGCATCTTCGATTCTCAAGGACGGTAGGTCCAACTCCTGTTGTTTGTCTGCGGACATAAGCAAGAAACTGATCGATAATAGAAGCAGAGGGAAATCGATTCAGATTTTTATAGGCAAATATATCAATTCTACCATTCGTTCTACCTGCGAGTGCAGATAAACATTACAACGTTTTACAGCTTTCCTTCTTTCCGTTTATCGAAACAAGTTGTTCCTCGGTTTAGCGTAAACGTCCAGACCAATTTGCGTTTCGTTCGATGTAGAAATTTTCCTGTCGAACGATCGTAATGCCCAGACCGACATGAATAACTTTTTTCTTAATAAACACGCAAGCCATAATTATATTGCGCTTTGTGACAAGTAACGTTTCAGCTTTTTCTCTATTAATCGAAAAACATGGTACGCTCGACTAAATTCTCCTTGTCGCTCGTGGTTAATTACGAATAAAATTCGCCTGAAAATTAAAAGCTCGTTTGTACCATAATAGAGAGAGAGAGAGAGAGAGAGAGAGAGAGAGAGAATGAAAAATTCAGGATTTCTAATTGCACGAAATATTGGATTATGTATGTTGCGAATTTTTCATACGCGAGCTGGTCAAGTATTTATCGATCGCAGAATTCGATGAGAAAAATGAAAATGTCACGTGTCGCATAATCTCCCGTTTACCATAATAGTATTGCGCGCGACTGAAAAGTAGATTAAACTTTCGAATGCAATCCGTGACCTTTATCCGGATTATATCGACATATCGGTTGCGATTCGACAGGTGTTCGGAGAAGGACACGAGTCTGAATAGAAGCGGAATTGCAACGTTAATATGTAGTGTTTAATTATTACTCATTCCGAGTTAAATACGAACCTTCGTTGTACTACGCAAGTTATTTTCATCTTTTATATTTTCTACATTGGCAATTCCTTCAGGATTATTAAGTGGAAATAGCAAATATTCGATTCTGGATTGAAATTATTTTCTCTCTTTACCAACGGTATTTCAGGTTTCGAATAACGACGACAGCCAACTCTTTGAGATCCTGGCCTGGTACGATGGCTCTACTTAATAAATTCTTTGAAAAGAATTCGCCAAACGAAATATTGGACAGTATCCGCAAACATGCCACAAAAGGAGCTGTCGAAACGTCCTTAAATCGCCTTAAAAAGCTGTTTACATAAACGAGCATTCATTTCCTGACTGGCTAAGCGAAAAGAAAAGTTCGCGGGACAAACGAGTCTGACGAGATGAATGCTCGATAAATATGCGTGCATACGCGGACTTTCAAGGGCTTTTAATGCGTAAGAGTCGGTGCTCGTTTCCATTGTTCCTGATAAATCTGCTCCTGGCTGTGCCGTGGCCTCGCGACGTTCAACCATTATCCTTTCTCCGTTTTGTCTTCGTGTTCGTGGTTTCACGGGTCGCGTGACGTACGCTACGAGTTGCCGATTGCGAATACGAATAGTGTTTCAACGAGCATTATTCAGAGGAAAAACTGTCTCGACGCAAAGGGTTTGCTCAAAAATGGCTTTAGGATTCGGTTTTTTATATAACAATAACAATCGTTCTTGTTTCTCGTTCTCAAGTAGAATAGTCGAACGATGAATACTTAAACTTAAACTTACCAAGAAAGGTACTACAGATGTACTCTGATATTTGGTTGCCAGATTTTGAAGACTCCGAGAAGTGGGAGAGTTCCTTGTTCAGCATACGTTTGAACTGCAAACAGAATAGAACGCAGCGATTACTATTTGTCGGCAATTAATTAAGATTTCTTTTAAGCAGAGGTTACGGAGTACTAGTTTTTATGGTCGGTGGTTCGTCTTGGCAAGAATTTTGCGATAACATGTAACGTTGATTTTAAGTTGAGATACACTTTGAGTTTTACGACGATGCGATATACCGATAAGAGACAGGCAGAACTGCGTACATATGTATTACTTGTACATAGAGGTTTTCTCCGTTCGTGCGAGCTATTCTATGTATTTCATTTGAAATATTTAAGGTGATTACGCGTACAGCATCGATGCTCGAGGAATAAAAATGAAACGTTCGCGGACAGAGCATTAGAACGCGATATAACAATTGACATAATCCTCCGAATCGAACGGATCGGAAACCCAACGTGAAACAAGAACGTGAAGGACGCGATGCTCATTTCCGATTTCCGATTTCCGATTTCCGATTTCCGATTTCCGATTCTCGATTTCCGTCGAGCAGCTCTTATCTCGTGAAATTTACGATATTTACGTTCAATGTCGTGTATAAAATTTCAATGTACACAAATATACATGGACAAATGGGACGTGTACAGTGTGCTGTTGTGCACACACGTAAACACGTATAGTCACTTGCAAAAGTACACGAATGTGTATATACTACATATATCAAGCCAAGGAATACGTATCAGCGAACACGCAGTGGCTGTTCCGTTGTTTGGGTTTCTCTTACTATTAGTCTTATCAGCTCTGTGGCAGTCGGCAAAAAATTCTGTTTTTTGTTTTCTCCGATTACACGGACACACCGGCGCCAATAAAAATGCGCAAGCGAGAAAGGATGAGTGACCTGTTATCGAATCGATTGTTTTGAAAACTCGATTCAAGCGCTCGTTCGCTCGATTATTCTCAATTATCAATTATCAATTCTCTCTTGCACTCTCTTATCGATTCATTTTCCAGCAAACTTGTCGTTATTTCGTCGCAACGTAGCAACATCGCAAACACTACATTATATCATCTTGTTGTTAGTTGGTTGGAAGAAATTCTTGTTCCCTCTGACGTACCAAAGTTATCCAGAACTCGCGTCGAAACTTTACCGCAATTTCCACCAACTATAACGGGCAAACTATTGGAAAAGGATCGATAGTGTATTAGATCATTTGAAAAGCAGATACTACGCGGAATAAATGGATGTACCTACGGACTCCTCTTTGTACAGCTGAGGCGAATCATTCCTAACGCAAATACCTTTTTATCGATTAGTCGAACGAAAAGTTTGCTAAATAACATCAAAGTCGATCGTATAATAATCTCGTTGAAACAAGAGTTTATAAATAAACCAACCACAAGCCGGGACGATTACAAGATTTAATTAACGCTGTTGGTTAAATCACCGATAAGATTATCGATTATTTTCTAAAGATAATTTCCTAAACGAAACGTATCGATTTTATGATAAACGGATCCATCGTCGATGAACCCGATACATATTTTAATATCAACGTGCCGTATCGGCAAGTCTTTGTTAAGCAGTTTTGCGATTATTTTTTACGCGAGTTTTGTTTTTGTACTTGTACTTGTACATACGTATATTCGTTTCAAACACTGCGTAACGTCGTATTAGGTCAGGTAAGATTTCTTTTTTTGTAATCTAGGTCTTATTCGAAAAGCCTGAAATTAATTCTGAATAAAAATTAAATTAAACGTAAAAACTGTCGGAATATGTAATTAAATTGCGCATTTGCTCGAGACAAAATACTTGTAACGCGTGTTATTTAATACGGGAGTTTAGTTTGAATTACACTAACAAGCGGTGCAGAAACATATGTATTTGGAAGTTATACATTCTTTTTAAATACTCTGGGAGAGGTATTGGGCCTGTCAGGATAATCGTAAGGTTTACAAAGAAAAATGCTATCTCCGACAATTCTTAACGCGAACAGACGATATTATAATTTTAACATTCGCTGGGGAACAAACAACAAATCTTGCAACGGAAAATTCAAATCAATCGCGTGACTAGTTTTCGTACAATAAAATCATGAATATTAATAGATTCGCTGTCACGGTGACTTTAATGCATGTAAGAATACATTTTTTCAACGTCTAGGTCATAACGAACACTAAACTGTCTACCGTGCTTTCATATTTCCTACGTTTAAACGACTAAACGATGTAAACAAATGTTTATATGTTTCTTTCTCTATTTTGTACTTATAACTACTTTCATAATACAAAAAGAATGACTGTTCCAGGAAGAGAGATTGCAAGAGCACCGAGTCATTTATCGAGGGTATAGTTTTCTTATTATTTCTGCTTCTATGACTCAAGCTCAATTTGTCCGATAATAGGATCGGTGGTAACGTAATTTGACGTATCGTGTCTGTAACTAGCCATCTATGTATTATGCCACCGTATCGTCGATAACGAATGTTAGACACCTGACGAATTTCATGCAGAGTCCCCGAGGTAATTCTTAATCGACTCGATATCTTAAACTGTGCCAGCTTCCTCGTATCTCGTATCTCGAATCCAATCTTAAACAAATTCGCACAGATTTCTAGGTCTGTGAGTAAACGTGCTCGTAAATAGTTAGAAAATCCTTTATCACTGGAGAGTGCGAATGACATTGACGAGCAGACTTCGAATGATTGCGACTTAAAATGCAGTCAATTGTATTAAAAATAATCTACGAAAGAAACTATCGACTACTGATTAACAATAAGAGAAAAACTAATATGCGATACAGGAAAAATTGAATCACCACTTCCTGTTTCAAGTTTTCCGAGAAACAACGTCGCTATAAGAAAGTTAGTTAGACTGGTAAAAAAATCGATGACTCACAGTTAGCCAATTATTTTGCTGGATATTCGATTAATTAAATTTGCTTCAACTTGCTACGTAATGAAACGTCATCGGTTAGGTGATTACGCGACCTCGTGACACTTTTATCGGCAACACGCAGGATTTACAGCCTAATGATAATACTTATCTTCTCGTTTCCAGATACTCTAGCACGATATCTTTTTCTTTAAAGATAAGACGAAGGAATATTTAAACAGTGAAGATTTTATTTTTATACTCGGTGAAAAGATTCAACTGTTGGTGAAAAGCCAAGAGATTCTTGATTTGTCTCCAAAATCCTATTCCGTTTTCTTGGCCCGACAAAATGAATAAATTATGCAAACTTGAGTGGTAGTCAAAGTGGCAAAGATTAGTTTTCTTTTTGTGTCGTAGATATTCCAAGAGATTTTCCTCTGACCAATATTTCCGTGATAAACACTTGAACATTATAATTTTATCGTGGATATTATTAGATTTAATCAAAATGAAAGCGTATTGTTTATAACTCGATATCTGCACGCTCAACGCTCAACTATCAATTTCATGGAGATATAATTAATCTCGCGGAAGGTAAAATGTATATCTTTTTCATTTGGCAACAATTTCTTTGAACAAGCTTTGGCGTTGTACGCGAATTCGTGAATAATAAATAAACGAGTCGATAAAAGGATTTGAAATTGAATTCGAAGATAATTTAATCAGTTTCAATCTTTTTTTGTACACAAAGAAGATAAAGAACCGCGATATCTGATTGGTAGACACGTACCCGTGGATCCTCAGGCAATGATAAATTCATTGACGATCTCCTCGAGGAAAGTTTTACATGCTCGCTCACGAACAAGCGATTCATTAAAATCGTGTATATTTATACCCATATCCAAATCCATATCCATATACGTATACATATACATATACATAAACATGTACATAATATAATATACATATATTTGCGTTGTCGTATTTTTCTTTATACAATACTAATTCTCCTAATTCAAGATTTAACAAAGTTTCATCGTCGTTAAACTTTCTAAGAAAAACAGCATTTTGTCAATATTTCAATGCTCTCTAATCACGAGTAATTTATCGATTTTTCGCGACGCGACGTTTCGCACTAATTTTGTGGCAACGAAGGACGTCCGTATGTATCTAGCTCGTTGCGATATCGTTGCGATCGTTTTTAAAATCGCCTCGATGAAACCTCTATCTACCTGATTTGAGAGCGACATATGGCAGGGAGGATTCGAGATTTGCTCGCAGATCGAACGATTCAAGCTAAATCCACGAAACTCGTTCCATAGACCAATATTTTCTCTTTTATCTTAGCGACTAAGCCGCTGAAATCGCAGTGTAAATGTTTCTTTACGTTTCTTTTGGAAATCAATTATTTTATTTAATCCTAGGTAATCCGCAATAACATTATTTGCCATTTGAATTTTCTTCCGATATTTTTTCAGTGTTTTATATTTTCCTTACGAAGAATACTCGACACTTGTCCGGTAAATCTTGCAGTTGGTATCGAATTGGTAATACGAGGGAACTTTCTACTTGCATGAAATTGTTGTTGGCATATGGAAAGCGATGCGATGCTTACGTCTATTCTTAGAAACGAGTTTCAACCACTATACGTACAAGTTAATTAATAGCTATTTTTCCTACACTGTCCCCGTGAGAATAGTTCCATTCGCGAATAGAACGCAGAATTGGAAAATTCTTTTCTTTCTATAATATAATATATCAGTCTAACGGAGGATAGAAACGGTTCATAGACGTGAGGGAAAGTGATCGATTGCAATCTTGAAGAATAAACCAAAGGAATCAACCTACTCGAAGACAAGCAGTCTGCTGGTAAATGGTAACAGACATTCGGCGGCATGCTCGATTGTTTACCTCAACGTCTACCGCATCGTATCGAATCCACGTATTTACAAACTGATAGGCGATAATATTTTGAACAAAAGGCGAGTGATGCCTAAGAGACTGGTCTCGCGTGGACAATGAATAGGACCATGTTTACGGAATCTTTTGGAGGATTATCCTAAATTGTCCGTAACGATAGCCACCGCATCGAGTGGTATCGAGATCGAATACATAACACGAGACCTTCGAGTCTGACGAAACGGCAATGTTACTGGGATGAAAATTCCATGTTACGATTTA